CACTGGTTCTCCTCAGACCACAGCTCAATTTCTCTCCGATGGCCGTTATTTCTTCTAATCCTTGGCTGCTCCTGGTCTCTTGGACGCCTAGCAGGCTCATAATTATAAGGTTGTGGTCCGTCATATGCATTCGAATATTCATGTTCAACTTCTTCTGTGTCTTCTGTGTCAAAACTAGCATTGGGATCCATGTTTATTAATACGTTACACCGGCCGCTCTCCCCCTTGTGTCCCCCGTGTTACGTCACACGCGGGAGGTCACGTGCCGAGGCTTTTTTATGGCGAAGTGAACATTTCTTACAAAAACGACGCCAGATGTCACTGTAGTGTATATTTCTGTATATTTTTTTGAAGATCTAGTGTATTCATCATTTTCCTACACATGTATTCACAGGTATTTAACCTGGAAGTTGCTCTTTAAGTATAATTTTTATTGCAGGACTTTTACTTACTGCAGTATTATTACTTTTACTTAAGTATAAGATAGTACTTCTTACAACACTGATCATAATAAATACGTTTTTTAATCACACTTTAAATGTATACTGCATTTGATGAAGCTTCTACTTGATAATAGTTGTACACACCTCAATGGGAGCCAATACAGTTGTTTGGCAGTTGTAAGCATGTCCACCTGCTGTGCCTCCTGTCACTTATACTCTAGCTGTAAGAAGGCAACATATGAAACGTCCCCCTCCTCCTGCCTCCTGGCTGTGCTGCCTGTCTCTATCTAGATTTTCTCCTCCTCTCTCCTCTAATGACAGCAGCTGATAGGCAGATATATTTACACCGGTGGCAAGGGAGGAAGAAGTCATCAGCCAAGCCCTGTCCAGCCCCCGGGCTGAGGCAGGCGGGGCTAAAAGGAAACCCTGGCCCCGGAGCCCCTCCCCGAGCGGGGCATATCTGAGCTCTGTGCCGGGCCTGCTCTCAGTTCTCGGCTGGATGGGATCAAAGCTGCACCACCAGACTCCCACGCTGCTCCTCCTCCTTCACTTTCCCTCTGGAGCTGTTGATGAGGCGAGGGTCCACTCCATCTCCTCTCAGTCTGGAGTCCAAAGGGGGCAGGGAGGTCCAAGTGTTTATCGCTTTTCGAGTGTACACTTTATTTTGCAACTTTTGAACACTGGAACTGTACTGTAAGCATTATGACTCTTCTGGGCTCTGAGCACTCCATACTGATACGAAGCAAGTTCAGATCAGGTGAGTGACATGAGGCTTGTTTGTTCCTGTGTATGCACTGATCAGGGAACTGTGTTTGTATACACACAGTTTGCCTGTGTACACAATGGTATCTTTAGTGTCTGCTGCGAGCATGTGGCTGGTATGAGGAATACCAGAGGAAGTCCTGAGCTCCGTCACTCTGATCAATATGCAGCCTTCCTGCTGTCCATCAACCTCTGTGTGAGCCCGTCCTGTAAGGGGGGGTCCGGGCCAGGTCAGCGCACTTGTTGCCTGCCTGCTAGCAGCTAACCTGCTGCTGGGGGTGGGCGGGGGGGGGCCACGGGAGCGTTCCTCTGGGGGCACGGGAGCGTTCCTCTGCTGCTCGGTGCTTGCTGATAAAGGCCCAGTACACACTGAGAAGGGTCAGAGGTTATCTTAATGAAGCTGATGGTGCTTGTGTGTGTGTATCGATGAGTGTACCTGCACATATCAAAGAGGGAGGTAGGGTCAAATCCCTTTAACACACAGCAGCTGGGAGGGCTTTGTATCCGTCTGGCTCCTTTGCTTACACACAC